ATATATATATATATATTGAACATGCAGATAAAAGTTAATATTAAATTTTTATTATGAACTTTTTATTTGTTGAACTCTTGATTGTAAGCTTCATTTATTCATATAAAGCTATTTACTTTTATTTATTATCTTGAAAAATATATTTTCAATGACATAAATTTTTGTATGATATTTTTATACTTTAGAGAAGAAAATAAAAAAAGAAAAATAAAAAAATGAAACTTTATATATGAAATAATTACGTGAATGATATGTCCAAGCCTCGGTCCTTATTTTTGAAACATAAAATCAATTTAAATTATGAAATTCTATTTAATTAGTAGTTTTTTTTGAAAGCGAGGTAGATGTGGTGTAGCAAAATAGTTATAATAAAGTGCTATTTAATTAGTAGTTATATATATGTATTAATAATTATATTAATTTGATATTAATAGACTTAATTTAATTAAAATATCAATTGAAAAATAATAAATAGTATGTATTTATTAATAATTATCAACAAAATAAAAGAAGCCTGTTTTTGGCCAAAACAAAAAAAAAAAGGCCATATACATCATATAATCTAGTTTACACAAATTGCAAATTTAGGTGAAGCAATACACATTGTATTAAAATTTTGAGGGATGTTAACAAAATTTTATGAAACAAATAATAATTCAACATTGAAACATAATAGTTTTGTTGAGAAAAAAAGGAATACTAGAAGGGGTTGAATAGTGTTACTCAAAAAACTTCTATTTTTCATATTGCAATAAAGTAGTAACTATGACAGATATGAGAGAGCAGACGAAGTAAAGAATAAACTTAGGAATTTATACTACTTCATCTCAACCACCAAGATCACATTCAGTTCTTAATCCAACCAAATCAAATTTCACTATTTTGTCAAGGATACAAGTATTCTTTATCAAGTCATTTCTAGCTCAACCTTAAGTATTATTTAAATTGTCTCTTCAAGTAATCTACCCAAATATTCTTTTCACACAAAGCCTCTCTAGGTTTCAACAGCAAGTATTTTTTTACGATTAAGTCTCTCTAGGCTCAAACAACAAGTATTTTATTTTACAGTTAAACATCTTTAGGCTCTAACCTAATAACTTAGAGTTACTAAAGTTTACAATGTTTTTTTGTCTTTCTATCAAGACATGATACAACAAATTAAGTACAAAGACTTTTTATAGAAAGAAAGAATGTAGTTTTCACAATTGTTAATCTTTTCTTTATGAGCTTTAAACTTCCTTTTATATGGCTTTAGTGAAGATAACCATTGCAAGTTTTTGAGCTTCTCTCTCATGGCTTGCTTTGTCTATTTTCATGATATGCTTCTTGACGAGAGAAGTGTTTATTGGTGTATTAAATGCTTGCATTAAATACTTTCACCAAATTGTCACTTCTTATTTGATCAAAAAAGCTACTTATTGTTGAGATGATGGAGATTGTTAGAGATTATTGAGATGACGAAGATGATCGAACATCTTGAAGACTTCTCAAGATAGTTTTAGTTTTGATGATGCATTATATAGATGTTTCTTAAAGCTATACAAAAGGATATTGTATTGATTGTAATAAATATAAGCTTATGTGTGTGTTTGTTTATGATTGATGATGATGATGAATGCTTAATTCAAGAACTAATCAAGTTTTTTAAGAAACCAAGAATTTGATTTTTTAGTATTTCCATGTGTAAACATAAAGTAATAGATTATATTGAAAATGGTAATTTACTACTAAGTGTTTAAACATAGAAATCTGACTTGATTCAAACAAGAGTTTTCAAGGTAACCTTGTTAATCAATTACCATTCAGGGTAATAGATTACCAAGTCTATTACTAGAAAATGATATTCAAATGTCCTTTGAGTTAATAGATTACCACATCTGTTACTGATAAAGAATTTCTTGAGGTAACAGATTAATAAAG